CTTGGGATTTACCGCAGCATCAGTAAAAGAGCCAAGCTGAGCTAAGATGTTGTTACTACAAAGCTCATCTTGGGATTTTACCGCAGCACCAGTAAAAGAGCCAAGCTGAGCTAAGATGTTGTTACTACAAAGCTCATCTTGGGATTTTACCGCAGCATCAGTAAAAGAGCCAAGCTGAGCTTTGCGGTAAAAATAAGAAAAAATGAGATAGGGTTATCGTTTTAAAATTCAACTTTTGTTGTGGGATGATGATTAATGAGATGAGACTGTTTGACCTGTCACAAATATGTAATACAACAAATTGTCTCGCTTAAATCATCATTCGTTGGTTTAAACTACTCCAACTAACGGATCGAAATATTAAGCTTGATGGTTTATCTTTGATTATCAAATATAGTCATGCTTGGATGTTTCATGAAGGATTAAAAAGAAGAAAAATCGGATAACTGATTGATTAGATAACCGGAAATGATATTCCTTTCAAATTTCTTCATTCATTTTTTAATTTCAGATGTTATGTGAAATTCTTCCCTTACCTTCTTATCATGTCACTTTTAGATCGGAAAGGTAAATTAACTTTTAATCTTAAACCAATCTTATCATTACTAGGCTTATTACTAGATTAAATTGGACAAAACAGAAAACCGACAATGCACAAAACAAATTAAAAAATTGTCAACTACAGGATTTATAAAAAGTTTAAAAAGAGAAACAATAAATTAAAGCTAAGATGTTTCATTCTTATACTTTTGGATGACAAAAAGTAAACAAACATAAGTAATATCTGTAAATCAACAAATGTCTCCATAGGACATCCGGAAAACTAACCTGAATCCGTTCCGCTGGTAGTAATAATTCATCCTTATTCAGAATATGTCCTTTAAGGCAAGATTCAAACATTCTTATAGCAAAGCTTTCTTTGATTTCATCAATCGAATCTCGTAATTGTTTCGTTACCGCTTGACCTTTTAGTGATTCAACATTGAATGAATTTGCCGCAGCTAAACGGATGGATATTTGATATAATTAAATGATCAGTAAGAGTGATAAGATGATAAAAGCAATAATATGAAATTGATTTAAATAAGAATTAAACATGTGAGTTTTAATTTAGAAAATAGATTTTTAATTTAACCTTTCCTTATTTCACAATGAATATTGACGATGTTACAAATGTGGTATACTTATTACAGAATCAAATTTATCACTGTTATCAAAAAAGCATTTCAATTCTTCCCTTCTTTACATAAATCAATTTTACTAGGATAATCTAAAAATTTAATTTTCCCTCATAGATAGGTTATATTTCACATTTCGGCTACAACAAGGTAATATCATATATGATGATGGTATTATTGCTAAAAGTTTATCTTTTTCATTTTGTCCAAATGTCGCAGCTATCAATCTCTCAGGTATGAATAAAAAAAATTTGAATAAGTTTAAGCGAACATTAAATTAAACAACCAACCAGGATAAATGATAAAAGCTACAACGGTAACATCACGATAACGTGGATCAATAGTTGTTTTCAGGTAATGATTTAACCTGGCCAATGATTCAATGAATATATCACCACCTTTATTGGTAAATTCATAACGTCCAGCCGTAAACATGTATATTGTTTTGTCCAAATCAAAATCATAATGACCATGGAAATGTCCACGAATGAAATTGTTAATTTTTTCTTTCGCTATAGCATGTAAATTCTGTAATTTAATTTTTAGCTTTCCGGATTTGTTTTGCCGTATGTAATTACAATAATTTATCCTTAGTTTGAA